AGGGACAGGGGGCGGGGGGGGGGAGGAGCCACCTTACCTTGCAGGGCTGCCGTCGGCCGGGCACGATGCCCAGGCAGAGCATGTGGCCCGTGACGCTGCGGGTCCTGTAGGCCTTGCTGCACGCGGCCGCGGAGATGACAGAGACGTTCACGCTCTGCGGGGAGTCGGGGTCCGAGGCTGCAGGAGAGGGAAGAAAAGCCCCTTAACACTGTCGGGCACCCCTTCTCTTCTCCTTTCCCTCTGCCTCGACGTATTTCTTCCCCTCCCAGCGGAAGGGAAACGAGGCCAAACACTGCGAGGAATCAGAGCTGGGCGGCCAGGGCGACAGGAAAGGAGCAGGTCGGCGATGTCACACGACACAAGTGCCTCCCTCCTTCCAAAACAGCTTAGACCCGCCGGGGTGACCTGTAAGCACGAAAGAGTCTGCAACGAAACGGGGCAAGCTGAAGTGTCCTGGGAAGCGAAACATGCAAAGGGCCTGCGTGGAGATGGAATTTTATTTCTTTATTTAGCTTTCGTGTTTATTATTTGTCTCGGATTTGAAAGTCATCGCCGACTCCGTTTTCATTTATCTATTGAAATATATTTGACTTGCAACGTTGGATGCCTTCAGTGTGTCCAACATGTTGATTGATTTGATGGATACCTTTATATAGTGTAATAGGATGGCCATGTTGCAGCAGTCGGCATCAATATCTAGTCGCATAATTAGCATTTCTTTCGTGTGGCGAGGGAATAATTAAGTCTAGTCTCTTAGCAAGTTGGATTATAATACAATAGTTGTTTATATTCACTGCTCTGTGCTTTGGAGCTCCAAGACTTATTTATCTACTAGTTGCAAGTTCGTACCCTTCAACTACAGGTCTACTTTTAGTTTAAAGGAATTTAGAGAGCTCTAAGCCTAGTTGTTCATTTGTCAGATTAAAAAATCTACTATCTGTTATTTAAAAAATTCCTCAAAAAGTGATTTCCTTCAACCCATAAAATGATAATTTAAAGGTGGGTCTCTTGATTTTTAAGTAAAGTTCTTTCCTTCATATCAATGGTTCACAAATACTACGGACTGCGCAGAACCATCACAAAGTTGTTTTCAACGCAACAAAATGAGAAAAACAAGAACAAAGTAATGTTAATACATATGTTTGTTAGGCGTCCTTGCCAAGGATCCCTCGTTGGAAATAGATAATTCACTTTGAGATTTTGTTATTTTATTTTGTGGGAGTGTGTTTATTTGAGCGTCTTTATTTGGAAATGATATATTTGTTCTTGAAAAGAAAATGTTTGAGATTCTTTGTTTTATTTTCCAGTCCAGCAATAATTGTTAGTTCAGCATTTCTTCTGAGAATACATTTTTTAAAAATATGTTTTTATCGATTTATTTTTTAGGGAGAGGTAGAGAGAGAGAAACATTGATTGGTTGTCTCCTGCATGCACCCTGACTGGGGATCCAGCCCGCAACCTGGGCATGTGCCGTGACCAGGAATCGAACCAGCGCCCTTTCAGTGCCTGGGCCGATGCTCAACCAACTGAGCCACACCAGCCAGGGCAGAGAATGCATTTTTCTTTAATTTAAAAAAAAATTTTCAATTAGTTGACAATAAATATTATTTTGTACTAGTTTCAGGGGTCCATCATATAAAAAAAAACAACACTTACTTTGCTACTTCATGAACCAGATTAAAAAAAACAACACTGCATTTTTTTAGCAAGTCATTGCTCTTTGGAAAACACAATGAATCCAACATACTGCTCACCAAAGAGATGTTTGCCTATTTTTGAAACTCAAATTGACTCTCAAAGGGCAAGAATTTCTACTTATCTAGAGGACATTATGATAAGTGAAATAAGTTAGACCCAGAAAGCCAAATACTGTATGATCTCACCTAAGTGCAGAATCTAAACATGGGAACAGAGACTAGAACAGCAGTTGCTGGGGCTGTGGGGGGCATATGGAGGTGCGTAGACCAAGGATCTAAAAGGGTATAAACTTACAGTAACAAGTCGAGGAAGTTCTGGAGGTTTCATGCACACCATGGTGGCTGAAGTGTATAATATCATATTGTGTATTTGGAATTTTCAAAGAGCATAGATCTTGAATGCTCTCACCACACACACACACACACACACACACACACACGCACAGTAAATATATGAGATGATGCATAATTAACTTGATTGGGGCATCTTTTCATAATGTATAGAATATCAAAACATCGTGTTATACACCTTAAATATATGCAGTGCTTATTTGCCTATTACATCTCAGTAAAGCTGAGGGAATAAGAATTTCTACTTTTTGATATATTTAAGAAAATGTGTCCCAGGGCCTGAAGGTGTTGACTGAAGAGCAGTTAATAAGGTTTCTGTGATGGAAGCATTATTAGAATAAGTGTAAAGCCACCTCTTGGCTTCTAAGACAAAAGAGTAGAAGTGGGTGGATGGATATAATCTGACAGGTTTGTTGAAAATGACTCTTCTTCCATACTATGGTGTCTAGGGTATTTAGCGTACAATGTATATTAAATATACTCAAATAAGTTACTCATGAGTAAAATTCTATCAATAGTTTATCCTAAGGGACAATATTGTAGATTGGTTTTCCTTATAGTTAATCAGCCTCCCCC